GCAGTGCGTAGTCTCTTGAGACGCAAACAGATCCACGTCTATGGGGCCGAACTCTTCGCACAAGAGCTCCACCACTTCGGGGTGAAGTCTCCATTCCCCGGGTCTGCTCCCTGATTCTGCGTCCCCGGGAGATACATCGCCCTGAGCGACAGTAACCTCTGCTGGGACCAAAGGAGGATCTGACGCGCCAGTCTGTCCAGAGGGCGCGAGCGCAGACCGCCCTGGTGATTCAGATAGGCCACCACCGCTGTGTTGTCGGAACGAACCAGGACGTGGTGGCCTTGTAGATCGGGCAGGAAACTCCTTAGAGCCTGGAACACTACCAACATCTCGAGACAGTTGATATGCCACTCGGATAGATGCACCTGCCAGGATCCCCTTGCAAAGCGGCCGTCCATGACCGCGCCCCAGCCCGTGAGGGAGGCGTCTGTCGAAATAACCAGCCGGCGACAAGACCCTCCCAGCACGGGCCCCTGGGACAGGAACCAAGTTTCCTTCCAAACTGATAGGGAACGAAGACACTTGCGCGTAACCCAAATCAGATGGAGAGGATTTCCCCTCGGGGAAAAACCCTTGTTCCTTAGCCACCACTGCAGGGGGGAGTGCGGTAGGGGAGAAAAAACTCCCCTACCCCGGTCTTCAGGACCTCTTCCCGGAGCTCTGTCGGGACTGGATGACGGTCCTCAGATCGCGTCTCACAGAAGGCTGAGGTTGAGAGCACCGCCTCGCTGCCCCAGCCCCTCGGGGGGGCCCCGAGAAGCGACACTCTGCTTCCTCTCCTCTCGGTAGGAGCTCATAGATGGAAGGGATCTACGCCGGCAGCCTCAGCTGCCTGGGGTGCAGACCGGCGAGGGAGGTACTGGCGGAACGCTTCGCCTTGCATCTTAACGTGCTGGAACCGATCCACCACCGAGTCCACCGCGTCACCAAAGAGGCCCGCCGTGCTCACCGGTGCATCGAGGAGGCAGCTCTTATCCCTCTCTGACATGCCCGCGAGGTTGAGCCATAGGTGACGCTCCGTGGCCACCAGAACCGACATGGATCGACCAATAGAGCAGGTCGTTTCCTTGGTGGCCCGGAGAGACAGGTCCGTGGTTCTGCGAAGTTCCGCCAGATCTTCCTCAAAGGGACCCCCCCTCTGAACCATCTCCTGAAGCAGGTCGGCTTGGTAGGCTTGAAGCACCGCCATGGTGTGCAAGCTCGCACCTGCCTGGCCCGCTGCCATGTACGCCTTCCCCACGAGTGTGGATGTGGTGCGACATGGCTTGGAGGGTAACGCCGGCTTCTCCAGGGAGGACGCAAGTCGAGGGGAGAGATAGCTCGCAAGCGCATCCTCCACCCGAGGCATCCTCCCATAACCACGGTCCCTAACCCCCATCACATTGCTGTAGTTAAGTGATCGGGGTGTGGAAAGCCGTGTAGAGAAGGGTCTGCCCCATGATTTACTCAGTTCATCATGTAAATCAGGAAAAAATGGCAGAGATCGGCGTGGAGGTGGTGCGTGGTGCTTAAGAAACCTTTCATCAAGCTTCCCACTGGCCTGTGGTGTCTGCTCCTCCTGTGGCCAGTCGATGTCGAGCTTAGCCACGGCTCTAGTCACCACCTCCAGCAGCTCGTCATAGTCGGGGCGCAGCCTGATGACGTTGCCCCGACACCCGGAAGTCATCGTCCATTACGCCGAGCACGTCCGCCTCCTCGGAGTCGGATTGCTGCAGCGTCTCCGGATCCAAACCGCGGGCGGGAGAAGCCTAGAAACGGGCTCCCGAACGAGGGAAGGAAGCGTCGGAGCCAGCGGGCGAAGGTCGGGAAAAAGCCTCAGCCGTCCCGAAATCCTCCGACAGATCACGCTGTGAACCCCATGAGTGAAGCCGCCGGGCTGCCTCAGCGGCCGCCGGGCCCGCCCCACGGGGAGAACACATCCGGCCGTCCTCGGAAAAGAGAGCCATGCGGGACCTCAGTACCCGCACGGAAAGGGTTTCGCAATGGCCGCAGGCAGCCCCCTCGAGAGCTGCCCGGGCGTGCTCCATCCCCAAACATGAGACACACATCTCATGTGAATCTCCATCCGTGATGTACCGAGGGCAAGGAAAAACACACTTTCTGTACCTCTGATTGCCGGACATGCTAGTAGACTTCTTCCTCGGGTAAGACATTTCGCTGCTTGTAGGACTGGAGCTTTCTTCAACAACATACCTGCTGAATAGAAAAAAGCTAATGATGAGTGTGTACAGGTGTGCTTTATACTCCTCCGGTTATTCCGTCACACCTTACCGTTCTAGCAACAAGCCAATAGGATTGGAGTGATTTCATTCACGTTCAGACCTGCTTCGCCTAGAGGCGTTCCCATAGTGTCGTAACCGACGCAGTTCGAGTTCCCTCGAAGGGGAACTACAGACACGTCGCCCTGACCTCTGTGCTAATGCGTGCCTGACTCCACCAGCAGGTGGATCACAGACTTCCTGACAGACAGGAAGCAGCACATGAAGATGGAAAAACATGTCTCTGACTCCAGGACCGTCAGCACTGGTTCCCCTCAAGGCTGAATTCTCTCCCCTCTGCTCTTCTCCCTGTACACGACAGCTGCACCTCCAGTTACCAGTCCGTCAAGCTCCTGAAGTTTGCGGACGACACCACCCTCTTTGGGCTCATTTCTGGTGGGGATGAGTCTGCCTACATCGACCATCTGGTGACCTGGTGCAGCCAGAACAGTCTGGAGCTCAACGCTCTAAAGACAGTGGAGATGGTCGTGGACTTCAGGAAGAGCCCAGCACCCTCCCCCATCATCCTGAGTGACTCTTCCGTCGCCATTGTGGACTCCTGGGCACCATCATCTCCCAGGACCTCAAGTGGGAGCTGAACATCACCTCCCTCACAAACTGTTTCAGACTCTCCCCTCTGGCAGGAGGCTGCGGTCCATCAGGACCAAAACCTCTCACCACAAAAACAGCTTCTACCCATCTGCAGCCAGCCTCATCAACAAGGCCCGGCCTCCCACTGACACTCCACCCCCCTCAAATAATACTCTCTGCACATGTAAATGTTACTTCATGTCATATCATGCACGAACCTGGCACATTGCACATATTTGTTGTTAATTTGTTGTCAATTGTAAATTGTTGTTGTTCCATTGTTATTTTTATTTTTTAAATTATTTTTATTTTTTTATATTGTCAGTTGTATTATTTTTCTCTATTATGGAACATCCAAAGTGACAGAACTGAATGAAAGAATAAATAAATAAATGGGAAAATAAATGCAAGAAAGAATGAATGAAATTAAGAAATAAATGCGGAAATATATCAAAGAAAGAATGAATAAAAGAATAAATAAATAAATGCAGAAATATATCAAAGAAAGAATGAATGAATAAAAGAATAAATACATACATTTGCTTTTGCCTTTCCCCAAGCAGACCTATTGTCATTGCTTTTCCCTTAGAGACCTACCTGTACTATGTGCTTTTTCCTTCCTCTTCCTTAACTGTCAATCAGCGTGATGTGGCCCACCCACTAAGTCCAACTAATCACTCACAGAAGTATTTCTCTCCATGTGTAAAGGTTTGATACACACTCCATATCAGTTGGTGGCGGTAACACACCAATTCGTTGTTTGCCAACGGACAATAAAAGCACAAGGAAGAAGAAGGAGAAGAAGAAGAAGCAGCTAATGTAGACAGAACCAGCACATGTCAATGTGATCTAAATGCAGAAGTCCGTTTACCGGAGGTAACTGGAAGAGGGAGAGGGCGGAGAGGCAGAGGTGTTGGAGGTGCAGTCAGGGCAAGGAGAGGCAGAGGACCTACCTGGAGTGATGGCTCTATTGAAGACGAAGAAAGAGTGAAAGCCCTCCAAAGGAACCGGAGAGCTGTTAACGAGGTTTGTATTTATAAGTCTGTTGTAACGTTATTATATTCTGACCTGTTTGCACTTTATGACAAACCCCAGCACACAGTGATAACGTTATTTACATAGCAGCTCTGTGCACATGTACCCCTGGTACTGTAACATTAGATAGTAGTAACATGTCATTTACTGGGCAACAATGATTATATGAAGCCATATTATACAAGTTGAGCAAACACTGGCCATCCTGCAAACCCTACCATGTCGCCAACATAATGTCATGTAACTTATAAAGCCTTATTTTATCAGAATCACAAATTCTTTATTGATACCCAAGGGGAAATTCTTGGTCACAATTGCTAAACTTGCATGTCAATTAAATATAAAAATTATAAAATCTAAATAAAGGTACTGTGGACATGTTAAGTAATTTCCAGCATCAACAGAAGTGTAATGATAAATAGTAGTAATGCATTAAATATTAATAGTAATAATGAGTACCAGTATATTTCATTTGGAATGGATACAATCATAAAAACATCGAGACAGAGTAACCAGAGTATTCAAGCAGAGAATATTGCATATTGAGTATTTTTCCCAGTGTCCTCTTTCTTCAGACTTCTTCAAGAGATGACCCTTGAAGAACACAGAGCTCTCCACCCTTCTGCTGGAGAGGCAGCCAGGCCTGGTCTTTGATGCCTTGATGATGCATCAGCGCAGACATGGTGCCCCACCTTCTGCCAGAGTGCCAGGAGTACCTCGGTGTACTTGTGGTACTTTATTCGCATTCACAGGCAGTACCGGGAGGACATTACGGCATTAGGCAACATCAGGGAGCCTGGGGATGACAACAGGGAGTACCGCTATGGTGCCTCAAGGACACTACACGGTTTTTATTCCTGGACTGTGAATTTCCTTCCAGGCCCTCTGGCATGGTCATACAGTTTCACACAAATACTCACAAACCTGCCTCAGCATCATCAAGGCATCAAACAAATGTACATAGTTAACATTTGATTTATTATTACATTTCTATATATATTTATTCATATTTCTCCCCCCTTTATTTAAATTTGATGTATGTTTTATAGTTATATAGTGTTATAGTTGTTCAACTGCAGTTCTATGGTATTTTTAAAAAAATAAAAAGGTAAGAAATAGAAGCACATGGTGTTTTTATTTTCATTATATACATTTGAACATGTGTTTAGAATTTCAAACTTTGCCATAACATTTCCAATACCAATTTTAGTTATTTATATTTACATAATAAGTAAGGCTACAGCTGTCCCCTTACTTATCATTACTGTTCAAATTGTAAACTGTAATTTAGGCTACCTACTGAAAATAATATGCGCTGGTCACAGTGGACTTAGCAAACGTGTACAAATTGGAAAAACAGGAAATAACCACTGGAGGAGGGTAGGAACAGAATTTAATGTTAGAGTAAAAGCTATGACTTTGTCAGTGAACTGAAGTTCTTTCCCTCGTGATCCTGCCTGACAAGTACCAGGACACATGCAAGGTGATCTCCTGTGGGGATCCTTCCATATCAGATGCTGGTTGGAATAACGGTCCTGTTGAAGACAGTGCCATCAAACATAGTTACAGACTATATTGTAATGTAAATATCATTCAGTGACATGTAATATGGTACAACATAGGCAACAAATTTGTGTAACTTACCTTGACCTCTTCTGACTTGTCTCTGCAACAAGTCTGATGTGGCTGGTGCAGGTATGGGGGGCACCAAACCAAGCTGTCTGGGGTCATCTGGGAGAAGGCTCCTCCTTCTAGGCCTCCCCACTCCACTTGTGAGTCTGTTCTTCACAATCCTTCTTTGCAACTCAGAAATGCATCCGTAGGTTTTTTCAGATTTCAAGCCATATACGCTATATCTTCTACCATTCTTCTTATACAATCTTTTGAAACTGAAATTACACAAATCACAACCATTTAATATCAGTTTGTAAGTAGAACAAGAGAAAACCTTGAGTGTAAAGACAATCAATTTCATATAAAACATGGGCTGAATATTGTACTATGAATGGGAATATTATAGAAGTGTAAAACGTACATCTCTTTGATGTCCAGCGTTTTCATTGTTGGTCGGTTCCGGTGGAAATTGTAGTCCAAAGCAGCAAGCAGAACTCTTGCCTCATGTACTGGGGGGCTGAAAGCATAGCGCTTGCTGGCATACATCAGGATATGATTCTGGAATGACTCTAGGTCTGCAGTTGATCTGATAGAACAAATAAACACATACTTCTGTGTACATGAGCAGTAAGCATAAATATTACTAATATACATCAGTGTGAAAAAGTATAGCCACACTACCTGAATCGCAGATAGTTGTGAACATCTTTCTGCCACCTCTTATTGAGAACTATATCCACTAAAGCTTTGTGGCACTGGGAGTCTCTCTGGATCCACATCTTTCCCCGCATTTGATCCGATTCAAGGTGCCCGTGTTTGCAACTTCCCATAGTCCAGGTGTGAATGTTGAGACATGGTGAAGGATGCCAACCAATCATGCCTGCAAAACATAAAAATGCACTATAAATATGTCCTTAATATAGCAAGTCTTGCAACACCACTGAAAATGGTTGACTATGTCCTTCAGCCAGTTGAAGAGGATGGACTGTCCCTTTTATCTTTGCTGCCTTGAAAAGAGAAAAATAAAATATTATTGTAAAATACAGGCATTCAACTATAGTCTGTGTGTAGAGGTGAAAGTGTAAATGTTCAACACCCCCCCCCCCCCAAAAAAAAAGAAAACACTAAATGACTACACCAAATGTCTAGAATGAGTAACACATCTTCTGGCAGAGGAAAGTGAACAAAATCTGTTGTCTTTGAGTTCAATGAAAACTTCCATACTGTCATCCATCAACTGCACATCAATAACCCTGATGTACAGAATAGTAACTTTATGGTTAATAATTGTTTCACAACATCAGCCAGTTATTACACTTACTGCTGCTATTTTTTTGGCAAGGTTATTTACACCATGCAACATGTCCAGACTGTGATGAATTCCAAGGGCCTTGTATTTGCCTCTGTCTGGGTCTATGAAGCGGTTAATAATGTCATGTTACTATAATATTTATATTGCTGTTATACACATGCATTCATACAATATATCACATGACTACTTACTCATAAGTAAGTATGCAATCTGGGCATGAGCATCTGTGCAGATCTCCACTAGCTTTATTTCTTTTTTTTTTTTTTTTTTTAAACCTGTCCTGCCCAGCAGCCTGGTATAGAGTATAATGACCTGGATACCATATTGTGCCAGACAGATTTTACTTTAACAAGAGAGTATTAAAATACTCCTTTGTCTGTTTTATTATTTATTTAATTATGTATTGATTTGTCACCGGGCCGGACAGGGGGGCAGACACGGGGATGGGGGGGCACAAACAGACAGCACAGAGAAAGGACAACACCTGCAAGAGAAGGGGAAAGGGGGATGGAGGGTGGGGACAACAGGGAAAAGCTGTGGGAAACACCAATTGCAGAAAGCAATGAAACCTGCAAGAGAACAGAGAGGGGGGCTTGGGGAGGAGAAAAACAACAACAAACAAACACAAACAAAAAAAACAATAAAAATTAGAATAATAGTAAAAGAAAACCAGCCGAACAGCAGCAATAAACAGCTGACATATTAATGACATATTAAGACAACTAAGAGAACAATGAAAACAAGAAACAGTCACACACACTAAATAAGCAACACAACACAGCCACGAGAGCTGGAATAATAATTAATTTAAATAAGTAACTGAAAGAAAGGCATCAGGAATAATTCTACCAGGGACAACCTAAGTTTGTTTGTGTCTGTGTGTGTCTGTGTGCGTGTGGGTGAATGTGTCTGTATGTGTGTGTATGTACATGTGTGTGCGCATAAGCCTGTTAAAGAATGTAGTTGTTAGAGAGAGTGGGACGCCACGACTGTAACAGGCAGGCAAGAACCCCAGTAGCCAATAGGGGTGGAAGAAAGAAAAAGAATAAATCAAATCAAAAAAAACAAAGACTCCCAGATGCACCGCAATGCAAACGCAGAAGACCCCGACCCAAATGCCAGTTGACAACGTAATGCCGACGGAACGCAAAAGAGGAAGAGCAGCGCCCGGACCGACCGCGTCGCAGACACAACATAGACCAGTGGCCTCCCCCATCCAGCACCCCACCGCCGCGCAGCAAACAACCACAATGCCCAAATGCCACGCAATCATCAACACCAATGCACAAGTGACGAGCCCAACGCGCACACTGCGCGAGCACGGCGACACCCATGCCCAGCAGCCCCCCGCGAATCCCGCGTGCGAGGTCGGGCAAATGAGAGAGAGCAAACGGAACAACACGACAGCGAAAGCCAGCGGAGAGAGACACCAGCAGCAAGTCCCAGCCCGGCAGCAAACGCGCCGCACAGGTCACCGTGCACCCGCCAATAAAAGTCCACTGTCCCCCCAACCGCCGGAAAAAACTAAGGCCGCCGGCGCCAGCCGACATCCCCCATGCCCAGCGCGCCCCCGGCCGCCATGCAACACCAGCCAAACCAGCAACGAGGCAAAATCAACTAGCTCAGCTGCATGCCACCAACAACCCACCCATCCATCAAGGGCCGAGAACTCCAGGCACAAACCCAGAACAAACCGGAGCACAGCCCTGCCCCGCACCCACACTGCACATCCCGAAAACTAACTATATACCTCAGTATCCAGAGGGGTCCAACAACTGGCCGACAGAGAAATGGGCAAGCACGGATCCGAGGCCAACGAAGCAAAACAGGAACGCAAACAGGTCCCTCCAAGCCAACGAGGAGATGCCTCCCCCGGACTCCAACGCACAAACTAAACGCCCAGCAGCCATCCAGAGACCCTGCCCAGGGAAAAAGTATAATACATCAAGATGCATCGATAATCGTCCCACAATCCCACCGCAGACCCCCACCCCCAGAAGCCAGGACACCCTGCGACCCCCCAAAGCGCAAAGGACCCCAGACCGCATGTCCAGGGAGAAGCTGTACCCCGCCCCAAGGAAGAACAGCAGAAAGCCGTGCCGGGAAGCTCGCTACCGCCAGGGAGCGATAACGCGGGAGAACCAGGCCAACGGTCCCCCAGCCCAGCCAGAGGCATCCCTCCCTACAGTGCAGCCAGTGACAGCAGCCCCCGAGGCCGATTTCATCCCCGGACAGGGGCCCAGCCCCCCCAGTCAAGCACCCCCAAGGAGGAGCACCAAAACCTACCCCGACAGCACCGGTCATGCGCCCCAGACACTCCCGAATGCCCCCACCGTGAGAGAGCTGGCAGGGGGAAGCAGCGGGAGCCTCACCTCTGCCGAAGAGGGCCCAGGCCCACTAGCTTTATTTCTGATGTAAGCTTGTCCAGTCTGGATGAAACCCTCCTTCTCCATGACGACAGAGTTCCATGATGTTTGCCGCTTGTCTATGGTGGCAACATGAATGATCTCCTTGGTGTCATTCTCCATGGTGGTGCAGTATTGTGCACAGTGACCAGGAGAGTCATTTCTGCCATCTGTTGAAATGTTTTAAAATATAATTCAACAGAAAAACAGTAATTGGTTGTTTCCATACTGTATTGCTTACTGTATGTTACATACTACAGTATCAACTACACACCTAGGATAACAACATCTTTCCCTTGAAGGCCACAAAGATCCTCTGTCCTTCTCTCTTCCCAGAAGTCCTTTATTGTATTGACGCAGTAAATGTCCTGAATGGAGAAGAAAGTCTTCCTGTTCACCATCCCCATGTTCATGAATTTGAACAAGAGGGCAATCTGTTGTTGTCAGACAACAAAATGTTGGTGGACAAGAGAAAATCTCCAGCTTGCATCCCAAACTTCATGCCAGGCTGGGAATTCCACCTCCACAAGCTGTGTCCATTATATCTAAAAGTCCCACAGAAGAAACATTTGCTTTTGTCATGTACAGCAACCTATCATTTTATACTAATTTAAATTTGTGATATTCTGTGATTGTCTGGACTTACCCATTCGATAGTAGCTGCTGTGCCCTTGGTGGTGATGTTGATCTCAAAGGGTGCAACAGAGTTGCACGGCGCACCAGTCCTCAGAAGGCCAGTGCATTTATCCACAGGCAGGATCAGAAATGTAGCCAGTTGTCTTAAGCAGTTCTCGTACACTTTGGAGGCTCTGACACCTATGATGTCATCTTCACAAAGGACATTCTGTGGTTCTGGGAATACAGGTTCATGATCACAGGGAGAAGGCTCATCAGGAGCGTCTTCATGTGCAGGCAAGGAAGTCCATCGATTGGGTGGATCACTGAAGAAAGCACACTCTTTCTACTGAGGCACAAAAATCTGTAGTAAACAAACACCACAAAACAATTGCAAACTGACACAAATAACACACCGTATAGAAATCGGTGGAAGATCCTCTTCATCAGAGCTGAAACCATTCTGTCCATCATCTCTTTCAAGGGAGTAAGATGAAGCTTTATCTGCCCAATCAATTCTTTACATAATGACAACTTTCAGATAAAAACAAGTTCTCAAATAATATCACTGAAAAATAATACATGTAATTAGGAAGTACTACCTACACACTGTTCATTGGGTCATTGAAAATATTTTCCTCCAAGTCCTCCTCAACAACATATTACAAATATATTATGAACATTTGGAGAAAAGCAATACAGGGCTCAAAGTTATGATGTCTACATGTTACCTTTGTTCAAGGTTCTGAATTTCTGTGGCTTCATGACATCAAGATGCTCGTCTCTGTAAAGAATAACCACAGCAAGTTGTGTAAATAGGGGCGGCTGTGGCTCAGGAAGTAGAGCGGGTTGGCCGTTAATCGGAAGGTCAATCAGGCGGTTCAATCCCTGGCTCCCCCTGGTTGCGTGTCAAAGTGTCCTTGGGCAAGATACTGAACCCCGATTTGCTACGAATGAGTGTGAATGCTAGTTTCAGTGTGTGAATGCAGATGTAGTATAAAAGCGCTTTGAGTGGTCAAAAAGACTAGAAAGGTGCTATACAAGTACGTAGCATTTGCATCCCACATATGCTCATTCAACAGTAGATATAGAATAAAATAACACACTAATCATAAAGTTCATGTTTCTGCATGACTTACCGGTCTGTTCCACTAGAAGCACCAATGCTGGAGCTGGGACTTCCAAAGGTTTTCTCTTCAAGGGAGTCGATGTTGCAGGACCTGTCTCGTAGCTGGAGAAACAGCAGCAGCCTCAATAAATGAAGTGCTACATGACTGTAATACATTACTGTACTGTAATCCACAATGTGTTACATCTTGGTAGGGTTTGCTCATCTTGCCTAATAAATTGAACGTCCCAAAAACTATCACATCTAGTGCAAGTATGATCACGACAGACAACGTAAAAAAACGTAAGCCAAGAGTGTGTAAAAATGTCCCTGTTTCTGTACCACAGTCCTTTATAAACCACATCATGGGTAAGTTTACAAAGCCATAGTCAGGTGAGGATCAAGGGGGCTCTCTATAATATAACACAAATAAGTACTGAGTGCCATAATTTGAGCTTGTGGTAACCTTTGTATGCACCGTAGAAGCAATACAAACAAATACGTTGTTTCTAATGTAAATTCTGACAATAAGCATAATTAGTCACTTGATAAGCACTGTGTGCTTATCAAGTGATAAGTGTTACAGTGTTATCGTAATGCTGTTAGCAGTAAAAATAAATGTTTTCCCCCACGGCAGTAAACATTTAGCTTGCTAATCTGAGCCACCATGCTACATGCAATGTTACGGTTTTTTAGCTAATTGTAATCATCAGCTGATTGTCTCACAAACACAAAAGACACATTTCTGTTTATTAAACGACGCCGAAGCGCTGGAGAACAACCTTCGAAATAACAATCAAACTTACGTTACATATTTCTTCTAACAGGGTAGTAAAAGTTTAGCTGGCTAATATGAGTTGTTAGCTGTAGGCTAACTTACTGTTTTGCGGTCAATAATGCTAATCAGCTGATTGTCTCACAAACGTAACCGTCACATGTATCCCCACATAGCAAAGCCATAACACAGCGAGGGAGAAGAACCACATGAAACTATCCAACTACATATTTTACACCACTGACAAGGGAAAAGTCACTTCTCACGGTGTCTATGGCTAGCTTCTGGCTAATGCTAACATTATCAAACAACAGTTTTCATTTGCAATGTTAAAGTTGGAATACCTCACCTGTCCATCAGAAAACAGGCAACTTCGGTGTCGCTTTGAAAACATTTTTCCCTCATTAGACCCTTCCATCTAGGAAAAGCCACACCGATGTTTACCCGTGATTTCTGCCTGCGTCGCTCCCGTTATAAGTCTGGCTTCATCATGCTTTCGCTTCTTCGAAGCAGATTCACCCTCCCTCGGCACTTGTGCTAAATAATAGCTGTGGTCTTCCATTTGTCCAAAATTCCACTACCAATAAAGGAGAGCTTCTACTACTACCTAACGTTAGTGTTAGAAACGTACAACTGCTTCTTCTTCTTCTTCTTCTTCTTCGTTTAATGGCGGTTGGCAAACCAGTTTAACGGTGCATTACCGCTACAAGCTGGACTGGAGTGTGAAACGAGAGATTAAGCAGGAAATAAATTAAATAAACAAAAGAGAGAAAACAAAAAACAAACATAAATTAAATTCTTTTTTCTAACTCAGTTTCTTTAAGAAACTTAATTATATGACAATATATCTGGCCTGCTGTTTTCCCCAAGACACCTGTCAATGAGATATCATGATGTTTTGCCTTCCGTAATGACTGAAAGAGGCGTTCCCTATTGATAGTGTATCTCCTACACTGAAGGAGAACATGTTCAACCGTTTCTAGTTGGTTACAATATATACATTTCCCAGTTGGGTGCTTACCTATTTTATATAACGAAAGGTTGAGACCTGTATGTCCTATTCTCAGACGAGTGATTATATTTTCTTCCCTACGTTTCCAGCCCACCTTCCTTCCGGCACCAACCTGTCTCTGTACATTATATAGGTGCCTTCCAGTTTCACTATTGTCCCAATGCTCCTGCCAAACTGACTGTGCATAGGTCCTGATAAATGTCTAATATTCATCTTTAGTTAATGGGGTTTTTAGGTCTACATGTTTGATTTTGAGTGTTCCTTTGGCCAGAATATCCACCTGCTCATTTCCCTCCACACCAACATGAGCAGGAACCCAAAGGAAGCATGTAGATAAACCCTTTAGCTCCATCCTGTACAATATAAGGAATATGTCATTGAGGATTTTGGATCTAAATGATGATTTGCCAGATTTAATACTCATTAGTGCAGACAAGCTATCAGATGCAATAACAGTATTATTTGTTTCCCTCTCTTCTATCCACTGCAGGGCCAGGTTCCATTTTCCACCTTATATACACTGGAGTATTCTGCACCTACTCTTACTTGTATTTCCCTGTCAAATAGAAAGTTCATAACCCAATTATATGTTCTACCACCAATACCCAATGACTTCAACTTAATAAGTAACCCTTCTTTCCAGAGCATATCATATGCTTTTTCAACGTCAAAAAATACAGCTATCAGTATTTCTTTGTTGGTCTGTGCTTTCCTGATGTCTGATTCTAAGCACAGTACTGAATCCATTGTATTCCGACCTCTACGGAACCCACTCTAGTACGGGTACAGAAGAGCTTTACTCCCTAGGAAGTATGTTAAACGCTCTGTGACCATTCGTTCCATAATTTTGTGAGGTTAATGCAATAGATCTATAACTGGTCCAGGACCTTAGAGAGAAAGGGAAGGTTAGATATAGGTCTATAGTTGGCTAAAACATCCGGATCAAGTTTGGGCTTTTTCAGAAGAGGTTTAATTACAGCTACATTAAAGTACTGTGGTACATAGCCTGTTGATAAAGATAGATTGATCATATCTAGTATAGAAGTGCTGACTAATGGTAAAACTTCTTTAAGCAACCTAGTCGGGATGGGGTCTAAGAGGCAGGTTGATGGTTTAGATGAAGAAATTATTGAAGTTAGTTGGTAAAGATTGAGGGAAGCAAAGCAGTCTAAACATATATCTGGTTCTACAGCTGTTTCTAAGGTTCCTGAGTTTAGAGATAAGTCGGTGCCAGTTGAGGGCAGGTCTTGGTGAATTTTGTTTCTAATAGCTAGCATTTTATCATTAAAGAAGCTCATGAAGTTGTAACTACTGAGAGCTATGGGAATACTTGGCTCAATAGAGCTGTGACTCTCTGTCAGCCTGGCTACAGTTCTGAAAAGAAACCTGGGGTTGTTCCTATTTTCCTCTATTAATGACGAATAGTAAGCTGCTCTAGCATTACGGAGGGCCTTCCTATAAGTTTTAAGACTATCTTGCCAGATTAAACGAGAATTTTCCACTTTGGTGGAACGCCAATTCCTCTCAAGTTTCCGCAATATTTGCTTTAATTTGCGAGTTTCAGTATTATACCATGGAGCTAACTGTCTTTGTTTTAGTATTTTCTTTTTTAGAGGGGCTACAGAGTTGAGTGTCATTCGCAGCGAGCCTGCAGCACTATCAACAAGATGATCGATTTGGGAGGGACTGAAATTAGCATAGGAGTCCTCCGTTACTTTGTGACTAGATAATGTATTTAGAGCTGATGGAATCGCATCCTTAAATTTAGCTACAGCACTATCAGACAGACATCTTGTATAGAAATTTTTGCCCAATGGCGAGTAGTTCAGCAATACAAACTCAAAAGTTATCAAACAGTGGTCGGACAAAGAGGGATTCTGTGGGAACACCACTAAATGTTCAATTTCAATACCATACACCAAAACAAGGTCGAGGGTGTGGTTAAAACAGTGAGTCGGTTCATGAAAACTCTGAGAGAAGCCGATGGAATCTAACAAAGAGATAAACGCAGTACTAAAGCTGTCATTCTCAACATCCACATGAATATTAAAATCCCCTACAATAATAACTTTGTCCGTTTTAAGGACTAAAGTTGACAAAAACTCTGCAAATTCAGATAAGAATTCAGAATACGGGCCAGGTGCTCGGTACACTATAACGAAAAGAATTGGTTGCAGTGATTTCCAACTTGGGTGCGAAAGACTAAGAACAAGGTTTTCAAATTAGTTATAGTTTAGTTTAGGTTTAGAGCTGATTAGTGGGCTAGAGTCGAAGATAGCTGCAACTCCACCTCTTCGGCCTGTGCCTCGAGGGATTTGAGTATTAATATGACTGGGAGGGGTGGATTCATTTAGGCTAACATATTCTCCATCACCCAGCCAGGGTTCAGTAAGACAAAATAAATCAAGTTTCATTTACTAGTACACCTTTAGAAGAGAAAGATCTGATGTTTAAGAGTCCACATTTAACTCTCCTATTCGTTAGCACTATTGCTCTTGTGAAAGAAATGAGAGCTGCTCCTTCCCAAGTGGGATGGATGCCGTCTCTCCGGATCAGACCAGGTCTTCCCCAGAAAGTCTGCCAATGATCAACAAAGCCCACATCGTTTGCTGGACACCACCTCGACAACCAGCGGCGGAATGACGACATGCGGCTATACATGTCATCACTGGTCAGATTTGGCAGGGGTCCAGAGAAAACTACGGTGTCCGACATATATATATACATATATATGTACACACCGACTCAACATTAATCTTAGTGACCTCCGATTGGCGTAACCGGGAGTCATTACCGCCGACGTGAATAACAATCTTACTGTATTTATGTTTATCCTTGGCCAGCAGTTTAAAAAAAGACTCAATGTCGCCCGTACTGAACACTGAACTATACACTGAACCTTTAACTAGTAACTATAGGCTATTTATGTTCTATTAAGTTGTTGCAGTTAAACTGCCATCCTTTTAATTAACACCTAAAACACTGCTGAGGGTACAACTGTGTGTACACGTTGTCACAGTTAGCCATGGTTTTCATTCACTTTCGGTGTCATGCACCTGGAACGCTTTGATGTGGGAAGTCGGAAGTTTCAACTATGAAATATCCCAGTTCCGACCGGTCTTGAACGCAGCATAACTCCTTCTAAACTTTCTACCAATCATAACAGTCTTTCAGGGACAGCATATCCACACTGCAGATAGGTATCAGTCATCGGCTGCTCAACCTGGCTTAGTGGGTGGGCCACAAGGAAAAAGCAATACAAGTAGGTCTCTAAGGGAAAAGCAATGACAATAGGTCTCCTTGGGGAAAGGCAAAAGCAAATGTATGTATTTATTCTTTTATTCATTCATTCTTTCTTTGATATATTTCTGCATTTATTTATTTATTCTTTCATTCATTCATTCTTTCTTGCATTTATTTCCCCATTCATTTATTTATTCTATAGTATCCAATATTTGTGCATTTGACTCATAACAGTTCAAAATAGCACTGTAGCAGCAGGACAGAGGGTCAGTGACCTTCTACGGGGAGAGCAGTGATTGGTGGTTATGTAGGGACTGAACCCTTCTATAGAATTTGACCTCTAACCCCTTGTTTTGTTACTTCAAAATAGTACTGTACCCTTCTATGGGTTTGACCTTTTATTTTGCAGACTCAAACCCTGCTATGGTACCTAACAGATACCTAAACATATCCTATATAAGCTATGTTTGATGTACAGAGAGACAGAATGGCCATTGGGCTGGGTCACTCTCCAAACTGCTGCAGAGCTTGTAATTGATGCTGAACTCTTTGATTTAATAAACTTTTATGATCAAGAACAGTTTCAAGCGGGTTTCCTCTCAACACATTGTTGATATTGTTCGGACACCACAATTCTTTCATTCAGTTCTGTCACTTTGGATGTTCCATACTCTATTCTTCTGTTTCTTCTTATATAACTTGCATTTGTTTATTACATATTTATATATTTCTACATCTATTTATGTCAGCTGTATGTCTGTCTACGTACAGCTGATTCTATTGAGCCATGTATTCCCATAGCTCTCAGTAGTAATGACTTCATGAGCTTCTTTAATGATAAGATTCTAACTATTAGAAACAAAATTCACCGAGACCAGCCCTCAACTGGCACCGACTTATCTCTAAACTCAGGAACCTTAGAAACAGCTGTAAAACCATATGTTTAGACTGCTTTGCTTCCCTCAATCTTTACCAACTAACTTCAGTAATTTCTTCATCTAAACCTGCCTATTAGACCCCATCCCGACTAGGCTGCTTAAAGAAGTTTTACCCTTAGTCAGCACTTCTATACTAGATATGATCAATCTGTCTTTATTAATAGGCTATGTACCACAGTACTTTAAAGTAGCTGTAATTAAACCTCTTCTGAAAAAGCCCAAACTTGATCCAGATGTTTTAGCCAACTATAGACCTATATCTAACCTTCCATTTCTCTCTAAGATCCTTCAGAAAGCACTCGCCAAACAGCTGTGTGACGTTCTACATAGCAAAAGTTTATTTGAAGATTTTCTGTCAGGATTTAGAGTTCATCATTGCACAGAGACAGCACTGGTGAAAATTACTAATGACCTAATTGCATCAGACAAAGGACTTGTCTCTGTACTGGTTTTATTAAATCTTAGTGCTGCATTTGATACCATTGACCATCAGATCTTATTACAGAGACTGGAATATTTCATTGGCATTAATGGAACCGCTCTAAGCTGGTTTAAGTCCTATTTATCAGATCGATTTCAGTTTGTATGATAACGATGAATCCTCCATTCATGCCAAAGTTAGTCACGGAGTTCCACCAGGATCTGTGCTCGGACCAATCCTCTTCACTTTATATATGCTTCCTTTAGGCAATATTATCAGGAAACACTCCATAAACTTTCATTGTTATGCAGATGGTATTCAATTATATCTATCGATCAAGCCAGATGAAACTCATCAGTTAGCTAAACTTCAAATGTGCCTTCAGGATGTTAAAACCTGGATGACCTGCAATTTTCTAATGTTAAACTCAGATAAAACTGAAGTTATTGTTCTAGGGCCCAAGCACCTCCGTGACACATT